TACATAACGCCTGCGACTGTGTGTTCAAAATAGACTAGAAACAGCTTCTTTTCGCATGCACTTTGTTTTAGTGCTCATCTCAAACACTCCAGTTTCAGTGTATAGTTGCTTGTTATTTTTCCTAATAAACACAATGAGTGTTAAAAAGAACACGATCTATACAAATAACAAGACAACGACAATTCTATATTTATGTCCGCTTGTTAGCAGGCAAGGAGAAAATCGATAGAGATGTACTGCAAATGTCTCTATCGGAGACTCAAAGGTTAACGAAATATTTCCAATCACTGGATAGTTTTTTATATTGATACGTTAGTTCAATAGTAAACTGTTGTTTATTATTGAATTCCTTACTTTTAAATAAATGTACACAGTATGTGTCGGTATTTTGTTTAAAAAATGCAACAAGGAAACGACATAGATGCCAAATCTGAGATCTATAGTTGAGAAACAAACACTTCCTGCTGGATGCAGATAAACTAATAAGAATGGTTAATAACATTAACATGTAAAGAACCGTTATTTGATGTTGAATAAATAATTCGCTGAAGCATTGTTATAATTATTCTGACGTATTCGATGCGGGTATTTTTATATGAGCCCGCCACACATGCATTGTCACTATTCCTGATACGTACAAAATGATGTTTAAGCTGTTTCGCTTCGCAATTACAATGTGCATTACACGCATGTAAATCTAATGGATTTTAAAAGGGATAGTTTCACAAATTACTGGAAAACGTCAAGTCCTTTCATCACGGTAAATAGTTGAAATAGTTGTGAAGAGATATTTTAATTTTACAGCAAATCCCTGTAATTTTCGTACATTAGCACTTTCCCACATGCCGCCTCAGATCTTAGCTTAACAGTGACGTAAAAACGCCGCCATTTCCCAACGCCATTTCGCCACGGTAACATTCAATGGTGTCATGGCCGAGAGTGGTGGAGGTTCGTAACGTACTGAGGTTGTTATTCACGAAAAGGTGTGATTTATGTTGCAAATCTCACCTAACTTTAACCTCAATCAGCAGCTATTGCCGTCATTACCAGGCTAAAAGGATCGGCGATGTTTTTTCGCTGTTTGACCAGGGAGTGATATTTTCTGCTTTGTCGAAGACGTCGCTTTTACAAACTACATCATCTTTGCCCGCTTATTACACGAGATTTGGCGTTCAGATCTAAATACTTTGATGTGTTTTTTCTTGTAGGTAATTACTACAATTATCAGTCATTATGCACGATTCCGAGCCTGGCCGTCAGGAATCATTAAATAGTCAGGTTGAAATAGCCTCAGAACGAGGCTCAAATAGCGGGATAATAGGGCACCTTTACGTTGTTAAAATGGATGCGCAATCCCACCCCAGTCCTTAGCATCCGGCACCAAACATCCATTAAAAAGGTGATTGGCGGAAGAATCAGGTCTCCTTTGGACTGGGGTTGATGCGCCTGACGTCGCTAGTGGGAAGCAAAGATGACCAATGACGTAAATAGCTTGGAAATAGACCAATTACAGCTATTAGACCTCTGATTTTATTTAATTTCCAGGGCTGAAGAGGAAAGAGCGAAATGTGGCGAGGCATATCCCATCGCGGGATGCATTTAGTTATTGCAAAGGGCCTTATTAACTTATTTCCTGCTTCAACTCAGAATATGCACGACGTTTTGTGGCAATTTTTGTCGCATTACTGAACAGCATTTTATCCGGTTTGAGGGTATTTGCTTATTGTTGGCAGCCAACATTTCTAGTGCCTCCCAGGCTCCACCATTTACTATGGTTGTGACGGGTAATTTGTCAAATGGACGGCATTTTCGTGGGGTTTATATGCCTGCTAGCAGAGAGGAGAAGGAGGGGCAGAGATAAGGGGAGGAGCGGGAAGTAGAAACGCGGGGTAATCATAAGGTAATCCTCCTAAATATCACATAATTGTACTTTGATGATAAACCATGCGCAGGGGTCTTTTCTTTGCTGGATAAAGACTTATTGATTTTCATTGTAAACTTTCTGATGCTAAATGCCAATAATCGCTCCAGTGATGGGCGTAGCAGGACTAATAACAAAATAACAGTTCTTTCATTTCGTATTTTAATGATAAGTGAGAATTAACTGTTCAAAAATGCAGAAAATTAATAGTTAGGCGATCTTTGAAGAACCTTGATCGTAAAAATTGTCAATTTATCCATGCAAAAAAGTAGATCTTGAGCAGCGTTATACTGAACGAACTTTTGTCTCCCATCGACAGAACGATACCATACTCGTAGATGGTACATAGATACAAAGGTATAACATTGCAGCAATCATACAATTTAATTCAGCTTAACCTTTACTTTGGAAAGATTAATGCCTTTTCATAATCCAACATATATTTTCAGACCCAATCTTCTTCAATGTTCAACATAAAAAGTAACATTCTCAAAGTTCTTAAGCCATAGAATCTTTCATGGCAGGCAAAAGCAAATGTTCCATCGGCTGAGGAGCCCTGGTTAGTGACAGCATCGGTTACAAGATGGAGGGTATACAATAGCGGGTCTCTGTTGTAGGTTCTGTAACGACGCGCACTATCCAATTAGGAGGTAACCGAAGAAGCTAACTAGTTACTGATATCTATAACCACTGACTCAGTATTCAGAAGTATCCATACCTTGGAAAAAGGTTACAATTGATGACTACAAAATCTCCGCTTTGCTGTTGGAGTTTGCCTAATGAAGAAGGAGTCTCATAAGAAATGTCCATGCAGCAACAAAGGGCTCCTTCATTTAGGCTTTGATTGGGGGAAAAGGAATCAAATTCACAAGCGTTCATTAAATTACAGTCTCATCCGTTTTGCTAAGTAAAGAATTCACACCACGCATCGTCATTAGGTCCAAATTAGCTAGTGATTTCTCTAACTGGCCTCAGAGGTGATCGAAGCTGACGGGTAATGCTCACTGCTCACATTGCTAATGCGTTTCGGTCAAAAATCAGACGAACGGGGCAAAAAAGTCCCCCTCGAGACGAGCAGAGCGTTCGTCCAAGTAGCGTGGCAAGTGGGGTTGTTTATAGTAGTAATTGGCATAATAGCCGGGTGATCGTGGCGTCTTGGCATAGCGTAGGGTGTGAGGAATATCACACACGGAACGTCCACGCTGCAATGGGGGATGGTTAAAGCCAGTTAGTCCATGAAATCACGACGTCTAATTCTATAATTGATTCAATCATTTCGTGCTTCCTGGCTGCCGAATTTGACGAATTACCGAACGGCGGGAGATGGAGTGTCGTGAATCTTAATGCTGCACAAAAGGCAATCTTTGAGTCGCATCCAGTCAAATCTCGTAATAACATTTGCGATAAAAATCACCAAACCGGTGGACAACTACCCAATGCATGTTTAACAGGTCTGCTGGCTTCTGTTCAATAGACTGGCTAGTAGAATATGGAATGGTTTGAGAAGTTTCGTTTATTCAAACCACAGCGCCAGCCTTCAGCCCTACGTAATGTTATCAATTATACACATTTGAATGGCGAAGGGTCTATTTTGACAGGCATGCAACGTTGTCTTGACAAAGCAAAGTTGCAAGCATATCGGAACAAGCAATAGTTAATAACGGATCCTAACCTTTCATGGTATTACTTTTAATATGGGTACTTTATATATTGGTTGTAGCATTGGCGGGTATAGTAAGGGGTGGGGCCGGGTAGGTGGGGTGCCTGAAAAGCAACTCTCTACTCGTCTTTATTTCAGGTATAACTACATCTGTCTACGATTAAAAGTTCTTCTTAAAACACACACAAATTCCTTTCTGTGTATAAGAATCACAGAATATACTGAATTCAGATGTTGTAAAAGTCGTGACATCTGCTACTATTACGGCTACAAATATATATTTCAATAAGGATAAAATGATCATCAAGATGAATTTGATTTCCAAAACATTTTCACATTTGATTAAAACAGACTGCTCTGCCATCTGATGATAAATAGAACGACATCGTGTTGTTAAAATCACAAGTTTTCTTAAGCGGCAATTAGAAGCTGGTATGATGAAGAGGAACACATATTATGGATTGACGATAAGAAGTTGTCAATCCACAAAATTTGTTCCTTCTTAAAACACAGGTGTTTACATGAAAAACGTTTTCTTTGACTTCACCTTGGATGAAAGATCACTTAATGGTCATGAGATATGTTCCTAGTTTGGCCATCTCACCCACTGAACTCGAGTCCCCAAGCGCTTCCAGGCGAAAGTGGCAGCATTGACTTGCTCCAACCGCTGCTCGCGCTATGTTAATTAGGCAACGACAAATCACAGTAATTTGGGCGAATTAGTCCAAAGGATTTTCGTGCGGAAGTATAAACCAAATTACCACTTGGGGTGACGGCGAATAGGCATCGGCGGACTGATACAATCTCACATTCGATTGTTTGGCTAACACTTTTAAAGCTATCTGGGGAGGCTGAATGGTATTCTCCCGAGAAGGCACGTGGGTCGCACACACGAGGTAATCTGGGAAGGAATAGGAGATGTTTGTGAGTTGGGGGAGAGATGCTAGTTTTTATTAGAATTTGACAGTGATATATCACAAGTGACTTAACTTGTAAAGGATACCGATTTATCTTTGTATTTTCAATTTACTATTTTAAAACTGTTGCTTTGAAGTTTATCAATTTCATTTTCCGTACTGTATTTGTTTGAAGTACTTTCAACTTTATACTCTTCGAAGTTAATGTTTCACAAAAAAGATATTTAATACATAGATAAATTACTTTGTATAATGTGTATTCCCTGTTACGGCTGGTTTAAACTTATTCAAAACCCTTTTGAAATGTTTTAAAACACTTAACAACTTTGTAATAGCTTTGTTGATTTTTTTGTTTTGTTTTGAAAATAATACCTGAGAAAAAAGTGTCATGTCATACAGAAATATGTTTACGTATGTTGGAAAAACAATATTGGAAATCGAATTCCCGATATTAATATAAATTGTTTGGGGTTTTTTCCAGAAAAACGTACCAGGTCTGGCTATGACAATGTCTTCTTTCACGGAGCCTCACACCAGCAGATCAACCTCCTTCTTCATCGACGACATTCTCCTCAACAAACCTAAACAACTACCTCGCGACTTCACAGCGGTGGCGGGATTGCGGTCGGCGTTTCCTGAGTACGGGTATGCGTGTCTACCCGGGACCCCCGCCTTCTACACCCACCCGTTCCTGGCCCACGGGGCAGGGCTTATCCCCAAGCACCCAGACCACCCAGCCTTTCTCATCCCGACTTCCAGTAAGTACTGTTATTAAATATTCCTTTACAAAATGGTTAAATCCGTTATAGACTCCGCGGTGTTGCGTATTTTGACTCTAAAACCTATACTTGAGTATAGTTCAAACAAACTTACATGTATTTTAAGATATTTCGTTTCGCTATTAATTTTGCTTAATACTGAATAGGATTTTTATACTTTCTCAGTATAATAGGGTATGGATACAAAAACAACAAATATAAACTGTGATTTAGAAAATATTTTCTACTCTCAAATAAGACGTCGTTTCATGCGGTGTATCTGCGTGCTTTTAAAGGAAATAATGCAGCTAATAAATAGGACATATAAATAACACATGCACAATTGTATCGCTGTTATTCCGACTTCGACTCCCCGGGGAGGGAGACAAAGTAATAGTAGAAGAAGTCAGTTTACTTTTAAATTAAAGCTGACTTCGATGGAAGTAGCATTTACATAAATTTTAGTGTGTAAGTTCAGATCAATACATTCCGTGATTTGGTCGTCAGTGGCAGCAGAAGAACGGTTGGAGGGAGTATATCGCAACGGGAGAACATGCAAATATTGCTGCACGATTTCTAGTTCAAATGATATGTGGAGAGTAAATGTCACCAAAGTAACAATTGTTATTACAAATCATGAAAGTCAACTTACTGTCAGTCTGATGGTTCTCTGATTGGCAGTTTAGGTTTAACAACTTAAATTAAAGCTATGAATATTCATATCTATATACAACTACATTTCCTAATTTTGTTTAAAATGTTGCGACCATAAAGATATTCCAGGTTTTCATCTGATGTAGTTTAAATAAATAAATAAATAAATAAATAAATAAATAAATAAATAAATAAATAAATAAATAAATAAATAAATAAATACGATTCAATCATAGTATATAGTGATTACAAAATGGACAAAGTCTACGCAAATTCCTGTAGTACCATATTCTGTTATACACGTGTCAATCAATAAATATTACCGAAGAAATTTCTAATAATAATTTAGCAACTTTTATCAGCTGACAAAGCCAATGACGGGATGATATGAAGTACCTGTCATAAGGCGGTTACATCAAACAACAATTATTAGGCCATGATGTACTAACAAAAGACAGGTAGCGCACGCACTTTGAACTCAGCCTAATTGGCAGAGAATTACCTGTGCAACGTGTTGGTTCTATCAGACCCGCGTCAAGTAAAGTGCAATTAACGTGACTGAACGGTGACCGAAACGTAATCATTTAGCGGGCGCCCGTGTTGCATTATGGGAACTCATGTTCAGCACTGATCCCGTTAATTTGGACTGAAGCCTCACTGATCCTTTTGTATAAGATGTCAAAGTGATTGGTATCAAAATCTCAGTGTATAATTCAGATATGCGAAAATAAATATTGAAGTTTGATCTTCAAGGTTGGGTCTGTCTGAGTTCCGAAGTTCTTGTATGGTTGATGACGTTCGGGGATTATTGTCTTAACAGTCCTTGAATATATACAGTTACTGATATGAGGTTGTAGGAGCCATATCTTGCAGTGTTGTCATTGCCAATATTAGTAGCGGTCACTTCAAATACTGAATACTTGTAATACAAGTAGTTTCCGTGTTGAGAAACTTTATTTTTAAACAATGAAAACAACAATAACAATAACAATCTGTGACCACAACTACAAGTACAATAAAATAAATACAAACATAATAGCAATCTTTTTGAATGTGTTAAGAAAATACTTTGGACGACGTTTTATAACGGTAGCAACTGAATATTAATTTAAGCAGCCTGGTGTTAGACATTATCTTTGAAATACACATTAATTAACTACAAACTGGGCTAATATGCACTTCATATTCGGGACAATATATTTTAACCTAGAGTACTTATTTACCAAGATTTGTTTCCGTTTTTACTTTTAGCAGTTTATGATCACCCTAATTACAGAGACAGCATTTCAGTTTCCAACTACCCTAATTTCAATACCTAGACTGAAAATTAGCACAACGCAATTGAATAATTCCTTCTATTTAATAAAAATCTCAAAATTCTTAACGCAAGTGTCAGTTACGTTACATACTCCATTTGTTGGCGGTGTGGTAGTTCTTTTTTTTAAACATCGTTCGTATAAACTTAGTCGAACAGAAAATATAGAGATTACAACCCTGCCGACATACCAATACCACACAACGAAACTGTTAAAAATATAAACTTAAATTATCTCCCTTCTTTTTGTAGGTCTCCCGTTAACCCCACTGTTCCAACACGACAGCCCAGGAAAACACTGTCGCCGGAGGAAGGCCCGTACTGTGTTCAGTGACCAGCAGCTGAATGGATTAGAGAAGAGGTTCGAAGCCCAACGGTATCTTTCGACACCCGAGAGAATGGAACTGGCTTCTCAACTCAGTCTGTCAGAGACACAGGTAGGAAGACGTCCCTATCTTCATCTTTCTTGTCACAATGGTTGTCTGTAGATTTGTATGGATTTATGTTGCATAGGAAGTCGTATTTAGACGGTGAATAATTTGCAAAATGATATTTGTTGCCTTCGTTCTGAACAAATATGTACCTTATATTCAACAAACGAAATTCACCTATGTGTATGAAATGACAGGGAATTGGACAAATCCTGTTTGTCGGGTACTTGGTTTGAAAAGAAAACACCCTATAGAAAGTATATGCTTGATATTTAGCAAAAATCATTTATGTCATTGATGGAAATGCTTGAAAGTTTGAAAGATTCATCTATAAGATTAAAAAACTTTTCACAACCCCAAACATTATAATTAGAATTATAAGATAGAATGGACCTTTTACAAAAAAACTCGTATGTTTTTGACAAAATTATAGAGTAATTTAGTATCACAAAAGGGCCAGGACGAACGCTGTGCAAAGAAATAGGTAGTTAGCTTATTAAATGCGTAATTCAGAGATAGTAGGTTCTTCCTGAAACAATCAGTTTCAACAGCAGCCTAAAATCCTCTGAAGTACATGTGCATTTTATCGCTCTTATTTTATATGAAAATTCAACTGATAATAAAAATATAATTATTTCAAGTGACATTCATCAAACTAGTCCTCAAGCCACATGCGAAATTTGAACTGTCCAATTAAGCTAATTTATACCAAAGAACTATCTATCGTGCCTCGAAAGAAAATATTGGTTATCACATCATCTAATCTAAAACATATTGTCAGCCACCCAAATTAGATAATATAATGTTTTGCTAATCCCAACTTATCGCTTAAAGTATCCGGCGCCGGATATTCAGCCAAAGTGAAGCACATCTCAGTCCCTCTTAATGAGTTAAGAAGCCGCTTACGAATGTTTTGAGAGCTCTTATCTCAGCAATTACACAGTTCCGATAGCGTAACGATATGATCATACTTACGCCTCGCTCGGTGAAGTTGAAGGAGTCATTAGATGGTGAAGATTGCTTGAAGAAGGCAAAGCGATAATTGGATAGCAACATAGTTGATATTTGAGTAGGTTCAAAGTCACATGGATAGCCGGATTAACCAATACAGAAGCCGACGTAAACATTGAGATGAATGTATCGCATCATGTGAAGATAAGGGGGTGAACAGGCTTGTAGGGGTGTGAAATGGATTGCTCTGTACAAGATAAGATAGAGCCATATGATGGTGCTGTAACGGGGAATTCCGCTTTATGTACACGTAACTTATGTGTGTCAGAGTTACCATGAGCTTGTCAGAACTACCATCTTCTAGTTCCTGAAACGTAACGGTGCCAAGATCCTTTTATTGCATATGATGCATGTATTTCACACACGTGCTTTAAAGATGATAAATGGCTTGTCTTCATTTTGTACTCTGTATATGCTGCCATATAGCTGGAATATTGCTGAGTGTGGCGTAAAACTAGACTCACTCACTCACTCATTTACTCACTCATTGTATTCAGTATAAATATTTCTAGATACAACAATTTAGTGTTTTATGAATGTGTATATTGAAATGTACACTTCTGTCCACTACTATTAGTAGAGTTGATTTACATGGGTGTTTGTTTTGTCAAGGTTTGTGTATTAATCTAACTCTGTCTGCATTGGCAGCAAATACACTGACTATGGAGCTGCCTTGCTACATATATTGTTAACCATATTCCAGATATTCCATTATGTTTAGTTTGAATCCTGTGAATATATCCCGACTTGTATTCTTTTTACATTGTTTTGTATTTGATTTCAGGTTAAGACGTGGTTTCAAAATAGAAGAATGAAACAAAAGAAATTGCAGCGTAAAACACAAGATGACAATGACCCCTCTAACACAAGCGACAAAAACAACCATTCCGACAGTCATTCTGACATAGGCGATGACCGATCAGACAGCGGCCATATTGAAAGTGATACACCTATTACTAGTTACAAGGACTGCGCATGCTCAGAAAACGAAGACACTGAAGAAATAAATGTTGTGGATACAGATATTGAACATCCTTCTACTTCGGCGTCATAATATATCTCAAAACATTTTAGGAGCAGCATGTTGAGTGCAAATGGGAGTTATCCCCCTTTGTGATATCCGGAAGCAATATGGCTTATCAACGCATTCCGGACTAACTCATGTCATGGCTTATTTCATCACTAACAAAAAGTGGGATTGATGATAGCCAAGTGAACGACAAGTAGACATTTGTACACATTAGGAACGTTTTTCCACGACGTGTGTTCTCTTTTTCTATTGGGATGTTATATGTGAAGGAACAGACATAAATTTCAAACCAGAGAGACATTGGTAGCATCGCTTGAAGAAGCAAGGACCAAATTGCCAATTGTGAAAGACACGTTGTTTATCATTGACCAAGAGACAAACCACATCGCTATTGTGATTAATGAAATAATTTTGACTATTTTCATACGAATCTTGATGTGTTTTGTGTTGGCCATGTACAGTGCTATGTAGAGCTTTGAAGTTGTTTTTTTCTGTGAATAATATTTATATAAAACATATCTGGACTTTGTGCAATAGTCTGTCGATGAGGCGGATTTTCCAGTATCTGTTCAATAAATGATGTTGTAATATGTGTATATCTAATGGTTTGTCATTATTGATACGTCGGAACATGCAGGTTATCTGTGGTGCTGGTGATAACAAACAGTACTCAAACTGTGATAATATTTTTTAAATATTTCAGTGCACATAACATAAATCCCATTGTTCTCTTTAAATATTTTTTAGGGCGGTGGGGTGGCCTAGTGGATAAAGCGTTCAATCGTCATGCAGAAGACCTGGGTTCGATTCCCCACATGGGTACAATGTGTGAAGGCCATTTCTGGTGTCCCCCGCTGTGATATTGCTGGAATATTGCTAAAAGCGGCGTAAAACTAAACTCACTCTTTAAATGTTTGTTGTTTAACGGTACTGAGGATAAACCAAACATGTAGTGTAATACATATCGGGAGATTGCCATGTCTTAAATGGCATTCTTGTTAACTTCAATATGCCTTAAAAACGGAATGAAACTTGAATTACTTTGTCTTAATAAATGGCAACATTTAACATTAATATAATCACAGATTTTTTAAATATATTTTTTTCATTTCTGTGACTGATGACAAACTTTCCATGCCACTGGTAGAATACCATGCATCGGATAATTACGAAAATAAAATAAAGCAAAGGTATAGCAAATGCGTAGACGGTCCGGTCTTAAATTTGTGTTTTCACGCAGCGAGTTAAATAACGCTTGAATATGATTTCGTATTATCAGCCTGTATATGTCAAACCCTGTTTGTGTCATGATATGCTGGGCAAGTGGAAGTACACACCCATGTTTGATGGGAACTGAAAATAAGCAAATGGGATATAGCTTTTCAATGGTGACACACTTGATATGGGCATCTCGGTTGTGTCTTTAACATAAACTTTGCCGTATTATCAGTTTAGTAATCATTTGATGGCGTATTCTGGTCAAATCCAATTTTGAAATGTTAAATGGCTTTTTAGTTACAATTTTTGTCACATTTGACACGGCCGTACCATCGACTTCCTGCAATGAGACCAACGCTGTATTGAACTGTACGTATCTACAATATAGTTGTTTACGCACTACTGCCATCAGACCATAGGGAGAAATTTCACGGTATTTAGGAAATATAGTTTAAGTAATACCTTTAACAGACAGTGTCTGGTGGTTTGTTTGTAAGGCGCATTATTCAAGCGGATTGGAGTAACGAGATAAACTGTGGTGAGTGGTGGTCCGCAGGGCAGAGTTCTTGCTCCTATTCTTTTGTTGCCAACCGCGCGGAAAATCTGTTAACCTATTATTTCCAGTCGGCTTGTAGGTAATGGGAAAAGTTGCTCGTAAATGGTTCATGTCAAATCTTGTAAAGCATAATTTGTTAAACTACCGTGAAGCGTATGGTTCTGTAACATGTTTCTTTTTTCTTAATATGAGTATATCGCGTGAATTTATATACCAAAAAGAATATCAGATTTCTTAAATTACATGAAATGTATTAAATCTTCAACAGTTGATTATTGTTGTTTTAAAACATATTTTATTGATATAAGAGGTAAAGTGGGCTGGGCAAAGGTTTTCCAGCTTTGAACGCCTTGTCCATTATGTTTATTATATACACATAGACAGACGACAATTATGAAGTATTGAAATAAATAACAAAGTGCTATACTTCCATCAAAATAACATTATTCATCAGCAAAATAACAAAACTGAACTATTCAAATTAATATTTGTTTCATATAAAACCAATTAACTTCTTTGGGGACAAGTCTGGAATAATAAGCATACTTCAGTCTTGGTATCTGGAAAAAGTACCACGGACGAGCCAGAGAGCAGTGAACTTGTGCAGGTCTTTCGAATGTGAAACAATAGTCATGAATTTAAAATGGAGGCTACCGGCTTGATGGCTATTTTCGATCAAGGTATTGACAGGTATTAACAGTATTGCCTGAAGTGAATGCTGCATTGTGTCATGTGACACGTGAGGTTGTCAGATTGTATAGATGATTCAAATCTTTTACATTTGTTACTGAGTCAATTTATACTCAGACACAATTTAATACCACATGAGTGTTTATATGAACCCTGGTGACTTTAGCTTCTTGTTGTTCTTAAAGAATACACATAAACAAGCGTTTGGCGTTTACGATTATCTACAGCGTATAAATATTTTGCAATGAATGAGTAAGCGAGTTCGTCTAAAGCTAGTGAGAGCAATATTTCAGTTATCATAGCATGTCAGCTCAGTGTGAGAGGGAAGAACCAGATGAGTTGGTAGATGTAAGACACAGAGCAAGTGCTAGGGGCACAATCATGGGAATACATGCAAACCGTCGTTAACTGACCGATCTTTGATCTTTGAAAACTGTATCACCCGTGCTAAATACTGACCACGAAATACAATGAAACCTTGTCAGTGAGAACTCACTTTCTTCCGGGCGGTATGACTTCATGCATATAAAAGCACTACTAAATATTTACTTGATCATTTTGGATTGTTTGGAAGGGTACCGTCCCGTTTTACGAGGTTTCACCGACCAGCTCGGGTCTCTGATCACAGTCGTAATTACCTACAACCAGATGACGCGTTAAGAATGTGACACTCGTGGATGAGACAGTAGTTATTCCAGCGACTGAACGCTTTATCTCGAGACAAACAGATGGACATGTGCTCACGTTGCGTTTGGGGAAAGAAGTTCATTGTCACTTACTTTCCACGCTCAATAATAGAACTAGGGTTGGTCCCGCCGTCCGCCACTCAACCAATACAATGTCCACCCTCAACTCGACAAACAGGACATTACCTCTAAATTAGACTCGCGTGACCACAAATCAAATATAGCCAGGACTTAAATCTGCGTAGCTTAAGGCTGCTCTTTGAGAGTCATTCAACCTCTTCCAGTAATTTAACATAATTACAAGACTTTTTCCAATGAAAACATTTAGATGATAATTCTCTCTGGTATAATTCGGCTATGGCCTTGGCTGGGTGTTTAAATGATGAGGATTCTCTGAAAGGGATGCTCAGTGAAGAATGAATATACTTGATCAAGGTTAGCCAGCGATTATGGTAAAGATTCAGGTGTTTTGGGAGGGGGCAAGACCTTGTTGCATCCATACCGTGACTGGACGCTGCGCCCAGACGTCATACTTTATGAGATTATATGTGATGGGAATTGATGTTTTGAAAAGGTTTTGAAAGTATGACATAGGATACGGGATGGATTCTTCCTACCCCAGTTTGACAATTTGAAGTCACGGAAAACTTTGGATATTGGGGTGGCATCAGACAAATTGAAAAGAAGGATGACCTTTTGACATGGTGTAGAACATAAAAGTGTCTAAGCATAAGTTCAAAAGCCTGTTCACTCTTTCATATGAACATATTTGGAATCTATGGCAGTGTTTTAAAAATGTCAGTTCATGAATTATCCAATCATACCGTTTGACAAGACATAGAAGTTCAGAAACAAACAACTCTTGTTATCTTGTTAAAGAAGCATGCTGCCGCCAAGGGCAACTAGGCTTCTGAGCAAAGTGACAAATGCAGCAAGTGTGTATGATTCATGTAGTTCTACTATTTGTCTGCTTATTTAGTTTATTACACATATCATTCTTAACGTTTCCTTTGTTTGTCGGCTCCAGATCAGGATTCTTTAGTTGTCAGCACCACACTAGATCCACCAAGGTTGCAAATGGATAAAACCTGTCTTTCCTCCCATATTATTCTGAATATGACACGCCCTGACACAGCCTGATACACCCTAACACAGCCTGATAACGCCATAACACAGCCTGATACACCCGGACACACCGCAACACACACTGATACGAACTGACACTCCCTGACACACCCAACACGCCCTGACATTCCATGACACACCCTACAAACCCTGACACACCCCGACACGACACGCCCAGACACACCCCGGCACATCCTGACATTCAATGACACACCCCGACACGCCCAGATATTCCATGACACATCCCGATACACCTTGACACACCCCGACACGCCCAGATATTCCATGACATACCCAAACAAACACTGACACACACTGACATGCCCTGAAATTTCATGACGCACCCCGACAAGCCCTGCAAAACCCTGACACGCTCAGATATTCCATGACACACCCCGATACACCTTGACACACCCCGACACGCCCAGATATTCCATGAAACACCCAAACAAACACTGCCACACACTGCCACGCCCTGAAATTTCATGACACACCCCGACAAGCCCTGCAAAACCCTGACACGCTCAGATATTCCATGACACACCCTACAAACCCTGACACACCCCGACACGCCCTGACATTCCATGACACACCCCGATAAATCCTGACACACCTTGACACACCCCGACACGCCCTGACATTCCATGACACACCCAAACAAACACTGACACACCTCGACACACCTTGACACACACCGACACGCCCTGACATTCCATGACACACCCAAACAAACACTAACACACCCCGAC